TCAATATTTCATCAGAACATACTATGATTTATATAGGGGAAGAACAATGCTTGATAAACACCATATTCCTTTATTTCAAGTATACAGACATAGTGACCGTGACTTTTTCATGTAATTGATAAAAAAATCCACAAATATTTGTCAAAGGAACACTCCATAAATTAGTGCAGGTACCGGTATGATATCCTGAACTGCAGCAGCATGGCTTAAAGCAGTCATTCTTTTGTTTTGCATGTATCACAAACTTATTCTACTGGGCCCTATACCTGGAGGTCAAAATGAATCAACATGTTAAAAGGGAATCAAAGTTTCAGTAAAAATATTTAAGTTTTGATTTACTCGAGGAGAATAAAGTTATCCTACAGACTAATTTATTATTCTCATTTACTTGTGAGGGTTCTAATCAGCCATACCAAATCCTTACAATTAACAAAAAAAATTATTATTCAGAGGAAATTAAAAAAGGTATCTGTTGTCATAGAAACTGATAGCACCATTTTACTCGTGTGTACTCTACAAACAGTTATCATCCCGGATGTTGATTATTTAATATCTGAGTCTTTGTTTTTGTGTGGAGTGATAATTTTGTTGATCTGTAATCAGTCCTAAATTTGATATTGAAGGCCTAGATATATTACTACACATGTGATTGGCAGTACAAGGGGACAAGTTGACAGAGACTGGTGTATACCGTATTCGACGTAATAAGCGCCCAGGGCGCTCTCAAAATTAGAAATAGGGGGCTCTTATTAGAATGTTATTTTGGTGGAAAAAAACAGAGTTGAAAGATAAATTTCGTGGTTTATGCCGACAGCTTGAATCTTTATGTACGACAGATATATTTTTCCAGAATTAAATGCCCATAATTAAGGGTGCATATAACACAAGAGTGCGTATTATACGCGAATAAAAAAGTCTTGTGTACATTGATCAATCGGAAGGGGTGCTAATTGGGATTGTTCACTAGCCAATATCTTAGCAAATGTCGCCGTGGGGGCTTATTAGAGCGGGGCGCTTATTATGTCGAATACGGTAATGGTCTATTGCACTTGTATCAAAGCACTGCTCCAGATACTGTTACAGCCACATGAGTACAGTACAGGCCATCGTCACAACTGACGAGTGCGAGTCATATTTTTCAAACCAAAAAGTACTGTACTACTCGTTTGTACTGGTATGATTTTGCACCCCCATCACTGAAAGACCCTGTGTTGTACATTCGGATTTCGGTGCCAAACATAACCATGACAAGAGAATTTCAGTGGGCGTTATTAGCCAATCCATTTGTTGATGACAAGAAATAACATATTCCCAGTTTAAGCAGAAGGAAATGCCCAATATGAAACACAGTTTATCAATGTAGAACATTTTTGAGAATAAAAAGACAATGTATGGGAACAATTAATCATGACAGTGTATAGTATTGTTTTCCTGTGTATTTGAGACAGTTGTAATTTGCAATCTATTCGTATTTGACCAGTTTTTGTCTGTACAATATGTTGATATGGCATCTATCTAGTGTACTGTCAAAGCATAAGCAATACAATGGTAGAAACAAACCTTTTTAGTACACTAGACCTTATGATGATAACATACAGCAAAACCCTTAAAAGGGCACATTTCCACTTGTCCTTATGATACCTTAACTATTGACCAGTTTAGCAAGGACTACAGGACCAGTGCCAATTTCAAACAGCTTTATTAAATCTACTGGTGGAGATCCCCACCATATTCAAATTTCTACAGGTCCATCTTGGCTTCACTGCCCCACAAACACCAAGTGACTAGGGAGGCAGCTGTAGGGTTGGCAGCTCAATGTCGTCCTCAATGGCTTGTGCTACTTCTCAAGAGCCCTGTCAGTCAGGAAGACTATGTGAGAGCTAGGGAAGAACACCTAGCGAGTCTAAGTCCCCATCATATGACCTGTGTCAATATTTGTTGTCTTCAAAAGGAGAATGCATTCCTCACAAAACTGCTCACTTCTATACAGCTCATTTGGTGGACTTCTGACTCAAGATGTCGGCATCCTTCCCAATAATGAAACCATGAAAACAGTTCTCTTCCCATGGCTGCTGCAGATGATGCATGGGGGAAGGTGCATGCTGTTTAAAGGGTTGATTGACATAACTTAGGAAAAGGAATGAATTGTTATACTTGTCATGTACTTTTACACACGAAGAGTTCTATTGTGTTGAAAACTGAGATTCTATAGTGGTCATAACATAATGAAAAAGACCACATTGCTTCACTTCCATTTTAATGCCAAACTAGATGAAGTACGGAAACTTATTCTGAACTAAAACAATTTGTTTCTACTGTTCCTGAAATATTGTCTTCAAATCTGTTTTCATACTTTTTTGGGTATGTACATCTACTTCAGGCTTATTCGAAAAGATGGCTACCAACTGCAGAGTTTTTCTCCCAAAAGCAGAACACTTTCCTACAGAAGAATATTTTGCTTCCATCTGCCAAACATTTGATCCCAACATGTTTTGCCATCAGTAGAACATTTTATCCAAACTAAAATGATATTTTATCCTAACTGTAGGAAAACTTCTACCAACTGCAGAACATCTGTTGATATCTGGGAGAACATTTTATCTAAAATGAATATTTTTTCCAACCTTCACGAATTTTCGACAAATCACAACGTTTTTTCCAAACATTTTCAAATAACTGCAGAACATTTTCAGTGGTAGAAACTGAGTTTTAGTCCACTAGTCCTTATAATGATAACATATAGCAAAAACCTAAAAAGGGGCAAATTTCTACCAGTCCTTATGATACCTTAACTTTTGGGCAGGACTGTAGGACTAGTGATAATTTCTAATGCTGATTTTCACCCTAATGCAAAACATTCTCTTCCAACTTGAGAAGTCACACAGTCTGGAAGTAAATGCAAAGATTCCCATTGCCTCCCAAGTGGAGGTACATGAAAACCGTACGAGATAAAGGCAAATTATCCCACTAGAGCAGATAGCAGGCTCTTGAGGATCCAGGTAGCGAGTTCTCCACTATCTGCTGAGGAGATATCAAACAGGAAGTTGGGAGATAAGGCAGGGTTATCTGCCCCTACCTAAGCTTCAGCTTACAGTTGTCATGACTACAAGAGGTGGCAGCTGCCTCTGTCAAACTAATCCATCTGTGTATAGGGAAACACTCTACACACCATTAGGAAACACAGTCATGTCAAACACTAAATTTCAGACACTGACCTTGCGTTAAATGTTTGAAGCCTGTGAACAATCAATTTAAGTTTACAAACACCCTGCTTAATTTGTAAACTGTCTGCTCAGACAATCCAACAATGACAAAATTCCCATTAAATCTCTATTGCGACCAACATAAATAAGATAGTAAACTATGTCTGTTATATTCAGACACATGAGTAAATAGGGCTGACATGTTATACTGAAGTCCCAATACAATATGTTTAGAGATACTTTTGAAGACACATACTTTTGAAGACAAACTTGTGTAATTCTAACACAACCTTACAAACCAAAAGCTGATTTTATTTTCAAATTCACTTTTTGATTTCAAATGTTTATATTCCTTTCGGGTCTCACCCTGACTATGTTTCTCTGTCCGCAGCACCATCTCTGTGTTCATGGGTTTCACCGAAGTGGTAAAGGTTTGAGACCTGCATCAATACAGGCTCTCCTCCCACATCAAGCTGACACCCCGTAATATAACTAGAAAACCATTCACAGCATCGTAATTCCCAACTCATTCACCATGCTCGCTCACTCACTCACTCAAATTATTTTCTACCTGCGGAGACCCATGCTTGCCATAAAAGGCGACTATGCTTGTCGTAAGAGGCGACTAACGGGATCGTGAGGGGTCAGACTCACTGACTTAGTTGATGCATGTCATCGTATTCCAATTGCGCGGATCGATGCTCATGATGTCAATCACTGTCTGGTCTAGACTTAATTATTTATAGTCCGCCATCATATAGATGGAATACTGCTGAGTGCAGTGTTAAACAACAAACAAACAAATCATATCATTTTCAGAGGATACCATACTAAATGATGGAATCCCTATGCAAATGGGATAGAGTTGGCATGTCATTTGGTGCCTAAGTCATTACTCAAATCTGGGAACTAGTGTGACTATGCACTTTGCACTATCATGCATAGACGATGGCTCTCTTATACTCCAAAAAAATGCACAAAATTCACTTTATGAGAAAGTACATTCACATAAGTCATGCAAATAAAGTTAACATTAGAGTTTTTTGGAGATCAGAAATTGCCTGGAAAGGAACTTTGTACTTGACACAAGTCCTGGTAGATTTGTAGACTTGTCACATCTCAGTCTGTATCTCAGTTCTGTTATTTGATTGGATGGCTAAATATAGTACCCAAAATTCAGACTCTGAACGAATCTATGGTGGCAAATGGGCCCAGGGTAGTTATCATAACAGAATGGAGATATAATACACTGGATTATCACGGATGATAAACTATATCATTGTAATATTGTACACTGATCATATTTTGAAGGTGAAATAACTTCAATAGAGCTATGACCTTCAGTATCATGATCAATATTTTTGATCTTCTACCCAGCAGTATGGATCAAAAGGTCACCCAACTAGAACTTTCCATTCACGAAGTGTAAGTCAAGTCCCACAAACTTGTGCCTGTCCTTCAGTGCTATAAGTTTTCCTGACCTTTTGAATGACTAAGAGCGTTTCCAGAGATAAAGGTTTTCTCAAGATTACATTCTCTCGGTGCCAAGGAAACCACAGGTCAGACAGTAAGATTCAACACTCACAGCCACAAAGTTTACAAATGTTTCCAAGTAAAACGGATATCTGCCCTCGGAACAGGCCGCACCTCGGATGGTAGGAGGAGCGTGTGACTTTGCAAAGTTATAAAGGTTTGCTGAAAGGACCATTTGTCACTAGGCAGTTGACAGCATTAATCAGCCTCTGACATGCAGCTAGCAGAAGGGTGGACTTTGAGCCTGATAACGGAGCTACCTACCTAGGCCAGTCTGGGTGGACAAACTTCCTGGCTGGGAGGGAGCGGGTACATGCGCAGTAGATGGCGCTGTAAGTGGCGACAGCGCTGACCTGGCCTGGTGTTCCAGAATCTCATTATGCTTCTTCTTCAGCTCCTTCAGGTCATTCTGAAACAGAACACATAAAACTATTGGCTACATTTGATTCTGATAATCATGTTCATCTTGGAACATTTAAGTCTTTTGTTACAGAAATAGAGAATATTGAATGAGCTGTGGTACAAAGTGATTACATATTTCCCTGTGAATTAATTACAGTAAACTACGTTTATAACGAACACATTTATAATGAACTGTTGGATATACCGGATTCCTTTTGGTCCCGTCCATTTGCTGTATATTTAAGCTTATAACGAACTACGGTTATAACGAATTAAAATTAGGGGTCCCTTTCAGTTCCCCAAACCGTAGTTTACTGTATGTAAATTACAAGGCTTTCATAAGACATTAATTCACCAATAATCCGTTATAACAAGTTGCAAGTTGTTCTTTATATTATTCAGTGTCTGGGGTCCTCTTTGCCAACATACTGAAGCAATGTTAAACTCCATCTTGCTCACTTTGCTAACATACTGAAGCAATGTTAAACTCCATCTTGTTCACATACTGAAGCAATGTTAAACTCCATCTTGCTCACTTTGCTAACATACTGAGGCAATGTTAAATTCCATCTTGCTCACTTTGCCAACATACTGAAGCAATGTTAAACTCCATCTTGCTCACTTTGCTAACATACTGAAGCAATGTTAAACTCCATCTTGTTCACATACTGAAGCAATGTTAAACTCCATCTTGCTCTCTTTGCTAACATACTGAAGCAATGTTAAATTCCATCTTGCTCACTTTGCCAACATACTGAAGCAATGTTAAACTCCATCTTGCTCACTTTGCTAACATACTGAAGCAATGTTAAACTCCATCTTATTCACATACTGAAGCAATGTTAAACTCCATCTTGCTCACTTTGCTAACATACTGAGGCAATGTTAAACTCCATCTGGCTCTCTTTGCTAACATACTGAAGCAATGTTAAACTCCATCTTGCTCTCTTTGCTAACATACTGAAGCAATGTTAAATTCCATCTTGCTCACTTTGCCAACATACTGAAGCAATGTTAAACTCCATCTTGCTCACTTTGCCAACATACTGAAGCAATGTTAAACTCCATCTTGCTCACTTTGCTAACATACTGAAGCAATGTTAACTTCCATCTTGCTCACTTTGCCAACATACTGAAGCAATGTTAAACTCCATCTTGCTCACAAACGGAAGCAATGTTAAACTCCATCTTGCTCACTTTGATAACATACTGGAGCAATGTTAAACTCCATCTTGCTCACTTTGCTAACATACTGAAGCAATGTTAAACTCCATCTTGTTCACTATGCCAACATACTGAAGCAATGTTAAATTCGATCTTGTTCACTTTGCTAACATACTGAAGCAATGTTAAACTCCATCTTGCTCACTTTGCTAACATACTGAAGCAATGTTAAATTCCATCTTGCTCACTTTGCTAACACACTGGAGCAATGTTAAACTCCATCTTGCTCACTTTGCTAACATACTGGAGCAATGTTAAACTCCATGTTGCTCACTTTGCTAACATACTGAAGCAATGTTAAACTCCATCTTGCTCACTTTGCTAACATACTGAAGCAATGTTAAACTCCATCTTGCTCACTTTGCCAACATACTGAAGCAATGTTAAACTCCATCTTGCTCACTTTGCCAACATACTGAAGCAATGTTAAACTCCATCTTGCTCACTTTGCTAACATACTGAAGCAATATTAAACTCCATCTTGCTCACTTTGATAACATACTGAAGCAATGTTAAATTCCATCTTGCTCACTTTGATAACATACTGAAGCAATGTTAAACTCCATCTTGCTCACTTTGCCAACATACTGAAGCAATGTTAAACTCAATCTTGCTCACAAATGGTAGCAATGTTAAACTCCATCTTGCTCACTTTTGCTAACATACTGAAGCAATGTTAAACTCCATCTTGCTCACATACTGAAGCAATGTTAAACTCCATCTTGCTCACTTTGCTAACATACTGAGGCAATGTTAAACTCCATCTGGCTCTCTTTGCTAACATACTGAAGCAATGTTAAACTCCATCTTGCTCACTTTGCTAACATACTGAGGCAATGTTAAACTCCATCTGGCTCTCTTTGCTAACATACTGAAGCAATGTTAAACTCCATCTTGCTCTCTTTGCTAACATACTGAAGCAATGTTAAATTCCATCTTGCTCACTTTGCCAACATACTGAAGCAATGTTAAACTCCATCTTGCTCACTTTGCTAACATACTGAAGCAATGTTAAACTCCATCTTATTCACATACTGAAGCAATGTTAAACTCCATCTTGCTCACTTTGCTAACATACTGAGGCAATGTTAAACTCCATCTGGCTCTCTTTGCTAACATACTGAAGCAATGTTAAACTCCATCTTGCTCTCTTTGCTAACATACTGAAGCAATGTTAAATTCCATCTTGCTCACTTTGCCAACATACTGAAGCAATGTTAAACTCCATCTTGCTCACTTTGCCAACATACTGAAGCAATGTTAAACTCCATCTTGCTCACTTTGCTAACATACTGAAGCAATGTTAACTTCCATCTTGCTCACTTTGCCAACATACTGAAGCAATGTTAAACTCCATCTTGCTCACAAACGGAAGCAATGTTAAACTCCATCTTGCTCACTTTGATAACATACTGGAGCAATGTTAAACTCCATCTTGCTCACTTTGCTAACATACTGAAGCAATGTTAAACTCCATCTTGTTCACTATGCCAACATACTGAAGCAATGTTAAATTCGATCTTGTTCACTTTGCTAACATACTGAAGCAATGTTAAACTCCATCTTGCTCACTTTGCTAACATACTGAAGCAATGTTAAATTCCATCTTGCTCACTTTGCTAACACACTGGAGCAATGTTAAACTCCATCTTGCTCACTTTGCTAACATACTGGAGCAATGTTAAACTCCATCTTGCTCACTTTGCTAACATACTGAAGCAATGTTAAACTCCATCTTGCTCACTTTGCCAACATACTGAAGCAATGTTAAACTCCATCTTGCTCACTTTGCTAACATACTGAAGCAATGTTAAACTCCATCTTGCTCACTTTGCTAACATACTGAAGCAATATTAAACTCCATCTTGCTCACTTTGCTAACATACTGAAGCAATGTTAAACTCCATCTTGCTCACTTTGATAACATACTGAAGCAATGTTAAACTCCATCTTGCTCACTTTGCCAACATACTGAAGCAATGTTAAACTCAATCTTGCTCACAAACAGTAGCAATGTTAAACTCCATCTTGCTCACTTTTGCTAACATACTGAAGCAATGTTAAACTCCATCTTGCTCACTTTGCTAACATACTGAAGCAATGTTAAACTCCATCTTGCTCACTTTGCCAACATACTGAAGCAATGTTAAACTCCATCTTGCTCACAAACGGTAGCAATGTTAAACTCCATCTTGCTCACTTTTGCTAACATACTGGAGCAATGTTAAACTCCATCTTGCTCACAAACGGTAGCAATGTTAAACTCCATCTTGCTCACTTTGCCAACATACTGAAGCAATGTTAAACTCCATCTTGCTCACAAACGGTAGCAATGTTAAACTCCATCTTGCTCACTTTGCTAACATACTGAAGCAATGTTAAACTCAATCTTGCTCACAAACGGTAGCAATGTTAAACTCCATCTTGCTCACTTTTGCTAACATACTGAAGCAATGTTAAACTCCATCTTGCTCACTTTGCCAACATACTGAAGCAATGTTAAACTCCATCTTGCTTACAAAAGGTAGCAATGTTAAACTCCATCTTGCTCACTTTGCTAACATACTGAAGCAATGTTAAACTCCATCTTGCTCACTTTGCTAACATACTGAAGCAATGTTAAACTCCATCTTGCTCACTTTGCCAACATACTGAAGCAATGTTAAACTCCATCTTGCTCACTTTGCTAACATACTGAAGCAATGTTAAACTCCATCTTGCTCACTTTGCTAACATACTGAAGCAATATTAAACTCCATCTTGCTCACTTTGCTAACATACTGAAGCAATGTTAAACTCCATCTTGCTCACTTTGATAACATACTGAAGCAATGTTAAACTCCATCTTGCTCACTTTGCCAACATACTGAAGCAATGTTAAACTCAATCTTGCTCACAAACGGTAGCAATGTTAAACTCCATCTTGCTCACTTTTGCTAACATACTGAAGCAATGTTAAACTCCATCTTGCTCACTTTGCTAACATACTGAAGCAATGTTAAACTCCATCTTGCTCACTTTGCCAACATACTGAAGCAATGTTAAACTCCATCTTGCTCACAAACGGTAGCAATGTTAAACTCCATCTTGCTCACTTTTGCTAACATACTGGAGCAATGTTAAACTCCATCTTGCTCACAAACGGTAGCAATGTTAAACTCCATCTTGCTCACTTTGCCAACATACTGAAGCAATGTTAAACTCCATCTTGCTCACAAACGGTAGCAATGTTAAACTCCATCTTGCTCACTTTGCTAACATACTGAAGCAATGTTAAACTCAATCTTGCTCACAAACGGTAGCAATGTTAAACTCCATCTTGCTCACTTTTGCTAACATACTGAAGCAATGTTAAACTCCATCTTGCTCACTTTGCCAACATACTGAAGCAATGTTAAACTCCATCTTGCTTACAAAAGGTAGCAATGTTAAACTCCATCTTGCTCACTTTGCTAACATACTGAAGCAATGTTAAACTCAATCTTGCTCACAAACGGTAGCAATGTTAAACTCCATCTTGCTCACTTTTGCTAACATACTGGAGCAATGTTAAACTCCATCTTGCTCACAAACGGTAGCAATGTTAAACTCCATCTTGCTCACTTTTGCCAACATACTGAAGCAATGTTAAACTCCATCTTGCACACTTTGCCAACATACTGAAGCAATGTTAAACTCCATCTTGCTCACTTTGCTAACATACTGAAGCAATGTTAAACTCCATCTTGCTCACTTTGCTAACATACTGAAGCAATGTTAAACTCCATCTTGCTCACTTTGCTA